CGATTGGATGAAGGAGGGAAGTACATAGTCTTGTGGGTCATTCTCTGGGAACTCTGGAATGGACCTGGCCAGAATCCATTATGCTGGCTTTAATTAGTATTTAATTAAAGCTTGCTTCAAATTTGACTCAAATTTGTGTTGCTGGTCTTATTCTTACCCGGTGTGATGAACATATCCTCATTTTCATTCAGTTAGAACCAAGACAGGCCCAGGCACCTTTCCTAAAAAAGTTGATTAAAATAGCCAAATTAAAAATGGAAAGCAAAACAAAGATATTTACTCAACTTGGCCACATTGGGAAGAGGGACCGAGAAACTCAGTGAACACTCAACTTTATGTTCAGAGTATTGAAGTGAGGTCTAAATTTACAGAGCACCAAGGATATGCACATCTGAACAGTCCTGGTCAGTGGGCCTCCAACTGAAGGGACCAGCCCCATGCTTTGGTAGCCATGACAGGCTACAGAAAAGACATGTAGTCCTCTGACTCAGCACATGTCTGACCTTGCCAGGCCTGCCCTAGTCACTAGGAGGTCGGATACCCTCCTCATGGCAAGGAACCAATCAGAAGTTAACTGGCAAGACTCTGGATGTGCTTTACAGCCCTGGGCCTGCTTTATGGTAAAAGTGGCACAACAGTAACTTGCAGAGCATACCAACTTCCCTGGGAGGGCCTACAGGCCATAACAACCAATTGACCGATCAGCACAGGACAAGTAGTCCAAGCCCAGAAGCGTACCAATCCTGACACTGTTGCGGACCCCTAGACACTCCCCTTATGCTGCCCATAAGTCCTCAGCCTCACAATTTCTCTGGGTCCTTCTCCCACCATCGGCAGTAATGAATGGATGAAGGGCCCGAGTTAATGCAGTTAGCTCATCAAACGACAATAAAAAACTCTTTGCTTTTGCATCGGAATGGGTCTCTTGGTGATTTCAGGGTTCAGAATCTGGGCACAGACCCAACAACTGAGCCATCCTTCAGATTTCATTCTCATCCTGTAAGGTGTTTTGATAAGTTGTCAGAATTGTGTGGCATCCTTTTTCTGACAGGGAAGGTCCCCAAGTAGCTAGCATAGATTTCCTGGGAAAATCCCAGTGTTTGAAGGGCCTGGTGGATTAAGAGGCACAAATGTCTCCTCAGAGTATCTTCACTTCTGCCTGGTTACAAAACCAAACCTTAAACAGAATCTTTTGTAAGGCCAATTAACAACCTAGAATGTTAATGTTTGTGGAGGGGTTGGAATGTCCAGAGCCTAATCACGATTTATCCTGGACTGTTTTTAGCCCTCTAAAAGCCATTCCTTGCCTGGCTCTGAGTCTGACTTAACATGCTTGTGGCTATCTGGTGAAACCTTTTGGAATATATAAATTTAAGAGACCAGTAACCTCCATTAACCAAAGGCTAAGAATAAGGTCATCAGACATTCCTCTCCATTTTGCTATAACCCACCTACCTAATGTTTTCAATGACATATTTGAAAAGTCTTATCTTCACAGCACTATTATGTTGGAACACAGTATTTGGGAAAACTGGAATCTGTGTTCACAGGTCATAATCACTCATATTTGGCTCCAGAATAAATTATCTCACCATTTTTTTTTTTTTTCAGATGAGTTTCCAGGCCCAGAGAGATGGCTGAGCAGGTAAGAACACTAGCTGAAGTTCAAGATGATCCTGAAGCTCAATTCTCAGTAATCACATGGTGGCTTACAACCACCTATAGTAGGACCTGATGCCCTCTTGTGGCAAGAGTTGTACATGCAGATAGAGTACTTATACATAAAATAAATCTTAAAAACAGAAAGTTGTTTTTACCATCAACAATTATACTTTGTTCACATTTAACCCCCTCACCTTCTCTGGTCCCTCTCCTGACCTCCCTTCTTTTTTACAAATAGTCCCCCATTTTTGTCGCTATTAAACAAGAATATTTCTGTAATTTCAAGACATGTCATATATTCACATCAGGTGTATATCACGGACTTGCCCAGCAAGATATACCATGTACTCAGCAACATATTTGGAAAACACCTTGATTTATGGCTTTCTATGCTCAGTTACAAAACTTAGGAAATAATGCCATGTAGGAAGATGGTATGCAGGGTAACCTGAATTTATATTCCTGGTTCATGTCCATTCAAATGGATCCAGAATAAATTTTCTCTTATTCCTTTTGAGGTAAAAACTGTCTTTCATCAACAAAGAAAATCTCTTCATTGTACTAAAACTGAACAATTTAACACATGAAGCTTAATTACCTCTTTCTACTGTATTTCCAACATGCACTTAAAGGCTAAACCATCATTTAATATTAATCAAAGAAACAAAAGCTTTTGCTAGTACTTATTAGGAATGGAGGGCAATAGCTTTATTATTAATTGAGGCTCACCCACCCCTGAGGGCCAGGACACAGAGGAGGGATATACCACAAATAGGAAAAAAGTCAATGAAATGATTCTTAATGATATTCTGCTATACTCATAGATTGGTGCCTAGCCCAATTGTCTTCAGAGAGGCCTCACCCAGCAACTGATGGAAAGAGATGTAGAGACCCACAGCCACATATTAGGCAGATCTCAGGGAATTCTGCGGAAGAGGAGGAAGGATTGTAGGACCCAGTGGTGTCAAGGGCACCACCACCAAAAAAAAAAAAAAAAAAAAAAAAAAAAACCCACAAAACCAACTAATCTGGGCTCATAGAGACTGAACCTACAATCAGGGAGTCTGCATGGGACTGACCTAGGCCCTCTGCACATATGTTACAGTTGTGTAACTTGGTCTTCATGTGAGACTTCTAACAGTGGGAGCAGGGGTTGTCTCTGACTATTAGCTTTTGGACTCCTTCCTCCAACTGAATTAATTGCCTTGTCCAGCCTTAATAAGAGTCGCACTGCAACTTGATATACAGTGGCTGGCTGACATCCATGGGAGGCCTGCCTATTTCTGAAAAACAGTGGAGTGGTGGTAGTGGTATGGTTGTGATGGAGGAAGAGGAACTGTAAAGAGGGGAGAAAGGGAGGGAGGGAGGGGAAACTTTGGGATGTAAAAACAAAACCAAATAAACAAAGTCATCTCCCTTTTAGCTAGGGAGATGACTCAGTTGGGAAAAGCCTTGTCCTGTGATCACAAGGGCCTGCGCTGGATCCTGAGTACCTATGTGAAAAAGATGAGGGTGGTGGTGTGTGTTTGTAATTCAAGTTCTGGGAAGTGGAGGCACAGAAATTCCTAGGGCTGGATAACTAGACAACTTAGGTTTAATGAGCACTTAGGGTGAGCACTAGGCCAATGAGAACCCTCATTTCAAATACAAGGTGAATGGCAACTGAGGAACAACACCTGTGCATGTGAACCCCCACACAAATATGCACTGTCACATACATGCACACACACATAAAATAAAAATACATTGATGCAATATAACAACTTCCTAATGTTATGTTATTGCCTTAGTAAACCATGCAAGAGGAACATTGTAACTAATATATAATTAATTTTGGTTATTACATGAACACTTTTGTTTTAATGACCAATTAAGGACATAATACAAAGATCAATTAAAGCATATATTATAGTCAGCTAGTGAAATATGAGCATAGTTTTACTCATTAGAAAATGCAGAAGCTTTTAGGATGATACTGGATTTTTTGGTCATAATTTCCTTGATAAAAATTCTGAAAGAATTAAGATCTCTATATTCTTAAAAACTTCATTCCCAACTTCTATAAAGATAGATTAGTGCTTGAATACCAGAGTAAAAGGCTGATTTTTTAAAATAGTATAATTATAAGAGGAACAGCTGAATTATTAATAACTTGTTCAGAAATACACAGCTAACAAATTTTCAGAAAATCAATTATTCTAGTTTTCAGACAAGAAAATGTAGTCTCTCATTGAACTCTGGCAAGACAGAAATATGCAACATTAAAAATTTAAGAGAAAGGATATTTAAATGATGATAAATTGTATGAATGTGCTATGGAACAAACCCTATACTGTATGCAGAAATTGTAGCAAAAGTCATACACATTAGCAATTCAAAACATCTTCTTGAAAACAAGCTCATTATTCTTGTTTCTTCAAAGTAATAATTTCTTATAAAATACTAATGGTGTATATTATGTGTGTATATATATTTGTATATATAATGTTCTGAGATATTGTTTCACACTCTGTAGTTCAGGATTTCAAATTCTTAGCAATTCTGCCTCACTCTCGAGGATGTTTGGATCAGAGGTGTGAGCTACCTTCCCTGAGTGACTAATATAGTTTTATTATTTTAAGGTTTAAAAGTTAGCTAAGTATATAGCACATTATAAAATTGAGAAAAACTAAATTTTGATTCGCATCACTCTACTGTGGGTGTTAGCAGACACTGAGTGTATTTTATTTTTTGTTTTTTTTTCAGACAGGACTTCTCTGTGTTGCCTTGGCTGTCCAAGAACTCAGAGACCTGCCTGTCTCTGCCTCCAGAGAGGATTAAAGGCATGTGCCACCACCACCCGGCTTGAGTGAATTTTATTTTAACATCCTACGTTTGTGTACTGAACTAAATTACAGAACTAGTTCAGAACCATAATCAAGCATGATAAGCACATAAGGGTGTGTGTGTGTGTGTGTGTGTGTGTGTGTGTGTGTGTGTATGTATATATATATATATATATTTGTACTATATATAGTATATATTATATATATATATAATATATATACAATACATATATATAATATACATATATAATATATACTATATATAGTACATATCTAAATAACTGAGAAAGCAAAATCAGCATGCGAGTTTTAAAGTTAGTATGTTTACCAATTTAATCACATTGTTGATCATCAAAATTTTATTCCTAAAAGTATGAACAATGTAAAGCTAAAACAAGAACATTCAGATTGAGAAGAAAGTTGCAAAGTACAGTATCAATTCAACAATAGATTGGTCTTTTGTATATTATCTAGCACCATGACTTCCTTTGTTAAAACAACCAACTAAACAAATGAAATGCACAGCTATTTATTTTTTGGTGATTTTCACAGGTGATCCTTTGATGTTGAGTTTGTCCACAAAAATGTTTGATCTTCTTCCATTCTCAATGGCTGAATTTCGATGCATTTTCTCTCTGAGAAATATACATATGACAATTAATACTATTTAAAAATACTCAAGTTAAAAGCCACTATAGTTCAGAGTTTCATCTTATAAGTTTCTTAAAAACTTCAGAAAACTATTTTATTGAACATTGAAGAAAGTATGAACTATTTTATCTAAGACATACTGAATGGCTTGCAGCTTAAACAATGTTGTTAAAATGGTGGCCACTAGTGACATTTACACTAATTTAGCTCCTGAGTTGTGCCACCCACATGTCAAAAGGAATTCAGTAGTCATGCATATCTAATAGTTAACATGTTGGCCAGCACACTTTATTGTGTGGAAATTCACTTCTGAAAATTTGAATGGACAGAACTAAGAGAAAATGCAGCTGCTAGGGCCACAGATTTATAGACAATCCAAAATGAGCATGGTTTCTCTAACTGAGCCATAACTTTGTGTTTTAATTTAGTAATGTTAAGTGTTTAACCAAAAGTATTCAATCTGTGACAAATATTACCAAAAAGATAGAGCCCCCCCCCCAAAAAAAAGGTTTTTTTACTTTCTTTTTTCTCTTTCTTCTTCCTTCTTCCTTCCTTCCTTCCTTTCTCCCTCCCTCCCTCCCTCCTTCCTTCCTGACAGAGTTTCTCTGTGGTTTTGGAGCCTGTCCTGGAACTAGCTCTGGAGACAAGGCTGGATTCGAACTCACAGAGATCTGCCTGTCTCACGAGTGCTGGGATTAAAGGCATGTGCCACCACTGCCTGGCTAGAGTAGATTTCTGTTTCAAGGGCTGTTGAAGTTTCTCCCAAGAACTTAAATTAACTTCAAAATATGTACTACATTTATAAAAAGCACCATAAATTTTAATATGTGGTTTCAGCAAATTTATTTTTCCCAATTATTCCAAAAGCAATTTCAAGGAAGATGAAAATTTTTGTAAAATATATCTAAATGCACATATTTAGTACACATAAAATACTACATTTCATGAAACAAATAATACTACTGCATACTGTGAAATTTAAAATTCATTAATTAAATGCTGGATTTTGCTTGGTAAGGATGTTTTCTAAATACAAACCTTTCCCCTTATAAGTATCTTAATCTGGTGTAACATGTATGACTTTGAATATTCACATTAGGAGTTGTTTCACAAGTTAACTACATACCAATATATAAAATTTCTTAAGGATTTTTACCTTCTATTTTTTCCCTGATGATTAAGAACAGTTCTAACAAAATTTTGATTTGCATGGAATACTTAGATTCAATATAAAGCTGTTAAATTTTTCATAAAAGATACTGTATATACAACTTAGATACTCTTAAGAACCTGATCAGAGATAGTTATATAACACTGTTGTTGTATGCTTGTGTGTGGGGGTGGGGATAAGAATACATATGTGGGTAGATTCATGTTCATGTGTTATAGAGATCATAACAAATTTTAGTTATCATTCTTTAGGCTTTCACTCAAATGGCAGGCAAGGCTGGTCGGCTGGTTGAATTACAAGTGCATGCTACTATGTCAGGCTGTTTTTTTTTTTTTTTTCTTTTTTTAAATTATTATTGATCCCAGTTTCCTCTCCCTCCCTCCCATCCCAACCCCCAACACTCCACAGGGAAGGTGATGCCTTCCAGGAGGGATCAACAAAATCTGTCCAGTCATTTGGAGTAGGGACTCCTGGTCAGGCTATTTTTTTAAATATAAGTTTTGGTGATCAAACGGGTCCTTGACATTGCATGACAAAACCTTTACTGAATGAGCTATTTCCCCCACCCACAGTACATACTTTGAAATATCCTTTAAGAGCACACTTAGAAACAACTTTTACCTCCTTTTGAGTTCTCGTGACACTGAATTTTCATGACCCACACTTCGCACTCTAGTGTTTTCTAGATTATATGATTGTCCACTAGGCTTGAACTTCAAAACTTCATTTTGCCACTCATCATCAAAAGCGTGAGCATCACCTATATTAAATGTCAAAATAAAGGGAACAAGTATTTAGGTTTCTTCTGTCAGTATTGCCTTGGGTCATCATACATTTCATGTAGTCTACCTTACAATAGAGGCAGGAGGCATCTGCAATATTTCCCTCCTTGTTTGTTTCTCTCCTAATGCCTATATGGTTATGGTAATATGGTTTTTCACTTAGCTTCTTGATTATCCTTTTATTCTATGTGGACTAGATGATTCAAGTACTCTCATTTACAGACTTTCCTCTTGAATCATCTAAAAATGATCATGACGTCCCATGTTCTTGGACAGTCCTTCAATAGGTTGCATTTCTAGTTACCTCTTCATGCTTCTAACTTGCCTTAAGCTTGTTGTCAATTTCCTAACATTATCAATTTATGATGTCAGGAAGTAGATAAACTAATTTCTATAAAAATAACAAACACATAGATGATTGATTGTTCTTGTTCTTTCAGACTGTCTTTATAAAAACATGTTAAACTTTCCAAAATATTGATCATTACAAAACACTTAGGGTACATATATTATATTTTTTTTTTAAAATTATATGTAGATATGATTTGTGTGTGGGGATATAAGTGCTGGTGCCCTTGGAAGCCAGAGGCATCTCTTTGGAACTGCAGTTACAGGTACTTGTGAGCCACCTGATGATGTAACACACATAGGTTGGCCCTGAACCCTGACAAGGACTGGAGAGGGACTAAAGAAATCACAGACACACACATACAGAAAAGCTGGGGTCAGGTAGGCTGTAAGCACTCTGCTTGAGTGATACCAACTACACCCAGACTGGAACCTCAGTGCTTTTTCTGAGCAGCACAGTGTGTGTGTGTTGATTGTTAAGCTAGTGTGTGTGTGTGTGTGTGTGTGTGTTGGTTGTTAAGCTAGTTTCCACAAGAGGTCTCTATAGACAAGTAGTCTAAATTTGTAAAAAGAGCCAGGAGGAAGAAGCTGAAGTTGCTAGTTTTTGTGCACACTGATCAATCCTCTGTAAACATTCACATTTGGACTAGAAGAAGAAAGCTTTATCAAGTCCTAGGCTGACCCACTGGGGAATGCCTATTTCTCATGGGTCTGAGGCCTTGGTCCTTGTTTTAGCTGTGTCTACATAGATGACATACATTCAGTTAGAACTTCACTTACTCAAGGCTTCCTTTGCTCCCTATATCCTGACAAAAGGAATTGAACTCAGGTCTCAGGAGAATTATGTGCTATTAACCACTAATCCATCTATCTAGGCACCTCTAATATTTTAATAAGATCATAATTACTATAGTTTTTAAAAATTCAAGTTTTTTAGCTTTCATCTTATTGCATAATGATATTTTCTCTCCTATCATTTTTATCTAATTAAAATAACTTCCTTTTCTGAAATGATACATTAAATTCTTTATTATGAAAAAAACCATTATTCAAAGTATTTTTCTGAAAATGAGATAAAAGTAATAACATTTCAAAACAATTTAATTTTAATTAAAATATGAAAGGTTAATTATTAATATTTAGACAAACTCTTTGAAGTTTGATCTATTTACAAACTTTTAGGTAACATTCAATACTTTTGAAAAATAATATAAATTTGAAAAAAACATGTTTATGCATAAAAGTATTAAAAAGAAATTCATCAAATCTTGAGTGATGTTTTGGGACTGAAGTTTAGACTGATTTTTATTTCTTTAAACTTTCCAAGTATGCTTCTTTACAATCAAAAAAATAAAAATTCATTTTGCCTTTTGATAACATTACTAAAAAAAAAACTTAAAAACTTTCATTCAACCATTTTATAAATGAACAGTACCTCACCTTAACAAAAGTAAATATAAAAATATGTTAGATGATAGAACCACAATTGAATTACTCTGCCCAACATTTCATACACATTCCTTATAATATCTTAATAAAGAATTCATGAAGTTCTAGAAATGCAGCTACTATTTTACCTTTTGATAAATAATTTTTGTGATAACTTACTTTCATTCATATTGATGAACTCTTGATTGACCTCTTCATCTCCAGTCTTGTTATTCTTGGACTTTTTAATGACATGAGCTCGGTCATGGATATGATGACCAACAGCCATTTTCTCTAGACCACTGTCAGAATCTCTCATTGCTCTTCTGGTTTCCTTTATCTTTAAAATTAAAGTAAAAGTTACTCAGTTAACATTCAAACACATTACAATGGACTTAGTTCTACATTCTTCAGTTCATCATTTTGTACAATAAGATGATTTAACTATTATACTCAGTTCCATTATCAACTTGGTGTAATAATAAAACTTCTAATCTTTAACTGTTTTCAAGTTAACCTTTTCCAAGTTGTATTACAATATTAAAACAGAATAAGTTATATAAAACTTAGTTATATAAAGTAAGCTATATAAAACCTTTAACACTGTGTTTGACAATGTAATGGATGGAAGCTAGTAAGTGCAACTACTTACTATCAATTATGTTGAAGGAGCTTGAGTCTCATGACTACAACCTACCAATTCCATGGAAGTGTTATTAGAATGTTTATGCTAGCCAATGATTATTAATGTGATTTTCCATGTGACATCTACAGTTTACATTTAAGACTTCACTATGTTCAGCAAAGTATAAAATGCCAGTAAATTTGAGATATATATATATATATATATATATTGGTTTTTCAAGACAAGATTTCTCTATATGCTGTCCTGGAACTAGCTCTGTAGACCAGACTGGCCTCAAACACACAGAGATCCACCTGCCTCTGCCTCCTGAGTGCTGGGAGTGTACTCAGGCCACCAACGCCTGGCCATATTCCTAGATTCTTACACAAAATATTGCTGATAAAATTTTATGTTATATTTATATAATGGGTACTACATAGTAGTTAAAAAATAAATAAAAAGCTGGGTATGGTGGTTCACTCAGGAGGCAGAGGCAGGCAGAGCTCTATGAGTTCAAGGCCAGGCTAGCCTGCATAGTGAGTTACAAACCAGCCAAAGCTACACAGTAAGACCCTGTCTCAAAACAAACAAAAAAATAAAGAAACCTGGATTACATGTATAACTTGAATAAAAGTAGAGGACACATAAGAAAATGATACTATTTGTATAAAGTTTAGAAACCTATAAAATAATCTTCTATTTTATTTTGTATTCATAAAGAATACATGAAAAATATTCAAGTATGACAAGCTTCAGGTATAGGAAAATGGTTGTCCCTGAGAGACAGGAAAATAATAAAGAATAAGTATTAAAGGAAATAGAGAAAAATGTTGATTTAACTAAACCATGTGACAGGAATATGGGTTTATCATGCATCTTTTCTGTATAATTTCATTATTTTATTAGTTTAAAAATTCATATATAAATTCTAAGGTGACATTTACTTCATGAAGGCTTCTTTTAGTGTCTATTTTATCAATGTGTAGATGTAATAAAGATCAATAGATATTTTTGTGATGGTCACCTTCATGGGTAGTAAACCCCACTTCCATCAACTAACCACAGTTGATTAGCATCCAACTGTGGAGTGTCTTTTCACCATGCCTCCCTCTCATCCCCTGCCACTTTCAATCTACTTGCCTTTTTTTTTTTTTTTTTTAAGATGTATTTTTTATGTATACAGCGTTCTGTTTGCATGTATCTCTGAAGGCCAGAAGTGGGAACCAGATCTCATTACGAATGGTTGTGAGTCACCACATGGTTGCTGGGCATTGAACTCAGAACTTCTGGAAGAGCCGCCAGTGCTCTTAACCCAAGCCATCTTTCCAGCCCAGACAATCTACTTTTCTATAACTTAATAAAACACTAAGAATTTTAAAAACTACTGAAAGCCAGGCATGGAAGTTCAAACCAGCAATTCCATACTTAGGAGACTGAGGCAGGACTGCTCCAAGTTTGATGCCAGCTGAGTCTACACAGTATGACTCTATCCAAAAACAACAGAAATAAAAACTTACTCCTCCTGGAGCCCTACGGGTTTGAGTTGAGGCCTGGAAAACCTTTGGTGGTTCATCTCCTACTTTGGAATAGGTCATAACAGAGGAAGAACAAAATGAATGCCCATTTGGATCCATTGAAAGGTGACCCTAGAGACAAAGGAAATTGTAAATTAAGATTCCAGTTAAATATGAAGGGTGAATGACAAGAGTTCAAATAAGCAACAACATTAGTTATATATAGTTGATCAAAATGGAACTGAGTGTTCTAATCTACTTTTGGTGCTAATTTCTATTTCTTCTGGAAAGAATAACAGGTGAGTCACATATCTCAGTCTGTGTGGCTTAGATTTAAATAAACATGATACAGTCCCTTAGGCAGAAGCTATCTCTTGTACAGACTTGCCATTCTAAACAAAGTGAATTATGTATGTACCAGGAACTTTCATATTTTATTTGGGCACCAGATTGATACGTTCCTAAAACCACTGCTAACACCCTAGATTTTATCATTCTTAAATGATCCATAGAATTCAAACTGGATATTGCAATGATCAAACCAAGTTATTTGTTTTGATGCTATAAGCAGCACAGTAGGAGTACTAGTGTTTGTTGATAATATTTAGAATGTATGGATCTACTAGTATCCAAATCATTTCTGTTCTCAGAGATTTTTTTAAAGGTAACAATATGAAAGTGTATAGAAAATATACGATAGTGACATAAGAATATTTTGAGGTTGGATTTTTTTTTAATTGTTTATAAGCCAACTAATGCAACTTTTCAGACTTTTAGGTTATAAAATAAATTAATTAAATATAATTTTTAATTAAATAAGAGAAAATAGCAAGCTGATATTATTATAATATCCTAATTAATATAACTTTTGTTTCAGGAATAAATTATTTAAGAATCAATTATTGTATATGAGTTAATCATGTAACTTATGCAATGCTGTTAACCAGGTAATAATGCTAATTACTACATGTAATAATCATGTAATATTGTATATGGGTTAATCATAACCATTTTCTGCCATTTTCACTATGGTTAAAGATGTTTGAAAATCCTTACAATATAGGATATCAATAATAAAAAATAATGTTCTCATCAGTTTCTTTTTAGTACTTACAAAGTTTCTTTGTAACTCCTGCATACCATTTCGCATATTTAACATCATCCGATCCATTGCCTGAAAAGGGTTGACATCTGTATGCTACAGGATATTAGGAAGTATGTTATTAACTACAACACCAAAGAAGCAAATAAATTTTCTCAAAACAGTTGAAAAAAATTCCTCAATTTGCTGTATCATGCAGTAATCAACTAGGCAAAAATAAATGAAAGACTATACAATAAGAGTTAAAGAAGATAAGCATATGCAAAAGTGCAAAAAGCCAATATAAATTAGGAAATTAATAACACTGTAAAAATATATACACATTATATACACACACATTTGTATATATACTTTATACAGACATATCTTTTGTCAACTTGCTTAAACCAGGGTTGTTCTTTTTCTTCCATGCATTTATCTTCTTCTTGCTAACCCTTAAGGTTCAAAATGTCTTCTCTAGGGAGATATGGCTGAGTTGGCGCGTACTGCTCATGTAGGGCCTGAGTTTAGTTCCCAGCAGTCAAGAGCCCATTATTGCCTATAATTCTAACTCCAGCTACCGAGTATCTGACATTCTTTGGCCTCTTTTAGTACTACACTGACATATACAAATCTCCACACATAAACAAAAGTTTTTAAGAGTCATCTGATCTTCACCATTACATGCAAAAGTTTTGGGTTGTGGGCTTGTATTCTGTGTGCTACCATAGTATGAATTTCCTTATCATTTTACTAGTATCTTTGTGATATGCTACATTCTTCTGGAACTAGTTCTTCAGGAAGGACAAACATTACATCTCAAACTTCAGAGAACAAATAACTCAAATTTAGTGCAAAATAAAAAGGCTTTCATGAAAATATAGATACAAATATTCTAAATTTATTATGTTCCAATCCTTGGATAACTTTTTGGTGTTAGAAACTAGTAAAACAGATGAAAGCTAGAAGGTTGGCAAGGTCTGCTATAGAGCAGCCATACTTGTGTAGGTATTAAGAAAAACCAAGGACTCCTTGTCAACAAAGTCAGAAAGAAAACCTCCAAAAAACTATGCTTTGTTACTTTGTGGAAAGTCAATACAGGCATGTGGAAGTCCAAGTTTGAAATACAATTATTGAGTTTCTCTGAAAAATAAGTGAATGTTCCCTAAAAATCTATGTTTCCATTTCTGAAGACTGATTTTATATGTTGATTTACTTACTGTAACTATCATTGCAATCCCTTTGGCAAACTGTCTCCAAAATTATTTTCATTATAATTCATAACAGTAGCAAAATTAGGAAGTAGAAACAAAAGTAATTTTATGGTTGTTTGGTCATCACCAGAAGGTTAAAAACCACTGATCTAAACAGAAATGAAGATATTCTAAAAATATATTTGCGCTTCTCTATGGCTATCAGACTATTGAAATAATCCCCAAGAGACATGATTTTCCTCAGGAATTTGGAAAATGAAAAGGCTGAAGGCTGATACTAGGCAGTAGAGGAACTTGTCTCCTGGGAAGAGATTTCCCATAGTTATGACAACTTGTCAGATACTTTGCAGGAGAGATTGGAGCAGAGACAAGAATAGGTCAGTGATGGCTGGAACCACACAGTGACTAGAACTGCTTAATACATACACCCTCCCTCCACATCAAAAGCTCAGGTAAAGACCTTGAAGATGGATTTGGAAATGTCTCTGGATTTTAGTTCTTCCTAATGTGGAAACACTGAGTACATCTCCTTTGTTAGCTTTTCACTATTACTTGTCTGTTTAATTGATCAGTGGGTAAGCCTGGCTTAATAGTGCTGTCAGGCCCAGGCTCTGACCCTAACAATCCTGGTAATTACTTTAGAAAACCCATGTCTATGCACTTAGGTGAATTTAATACATGAAACAAAGGTTTCCAGTATGAAGCTTAACAGCTATTATGGAGGTTAATGAAATGCATGCAAACTCACTCTGCTTGAGTTAATGAAAGTATCTGTTAAAAAATAAAGCTAAAATAATTTGTCTCATGACACGAACCATACCACCAAACCTTCCAAAAGGCACAAGAGAAACACTTGTTGCCTAGAAAAAATAATATACAATAAATTTTGGTTGCACTTATTATATGGGCATAGCAAAAATATAAAATTGCTCTGTATAGCCATACAGCTTAGAACTACCATCATTACAGAAATTTTTAGTAAAAAATTCTCAATGCGTATTTTAAAAATTATCTATTTCTTATGCATTGTAGCACCTGTCTGGCCAGCAAATAAAGAAGCCACAATAAAGAGAGTCTTTGCTATAGGCTAAAGAAAACATTTCAAAATTAAAACGAAGTATAATGACTAGGATTAAAGCATTTTCTATTGCTATTTCTACTGATATTCCATATTTTTTAGAACAGGAACATGTTGGATGCATCAATAAAATTCTTACTTCTATTTCTTTGAATTGAAAGAATAGATTAGATATGCTCTGACATATCACCTAGTATCTTGAGTTAAAAGGTAACTAGCAAGTTTAAATATCAGATTATCTAGTTTTTATGTTATTTTTTTTTAAAGACAGTGTCTTAATTTGAGTTACTATTACTGTGACAAACACCATAACCAAAGCAACTTGGGGAGGAAAGGGCTCAGTTGGGTGAAGCCTCCAAATTTTTGTTCATCATCAAAAGAAGTCAGGACAGGAATTCAAGCAGGAACCTGGAGGCAGGAGCTGATGCAGAGGCCCTGGAGGGTGCTGCTTATAAGCTATTCAGTTTGAAGTGTTCTGTTACAGCCACTAACTACACATGAAAATAAGGAACCAATGACTTTAAATTTTCTTTTAAATGTTGGTCCTGAACTTTCTTTTCCTTTTTTTGAGGGGAGGTTTGAGACAAGGGTTTCTCTGTATTGCTTTGGAACCTATCTTGGAACTCCCTCTGCAGACCAGGCTGGCCTTGAACTCACAGAGATCCTGTATGTCTCTGCCTCCCAAGTGCTGGGATTAAAGGCATGCACCACCACCACCCAGCTTGAAGTTTCTTTATATTCTGAATTATTTTCCTACTTGACTTTCCTATTTAATAATAACATTTATGTATTTCTTCAATAAGTCTTTCATTGATTTAAACTTTGGCAAGACAAATATAATTTGAAGAATACTTATATGCAAATAGTTCTAAATAGTGAATCTTACCAACCACAGTTTCACAGAAACATTTCTATTTGGCTATATAGTTCTCTTATTCCAGTTCCTCTTAAACATTTAGTGGTTTTAGTGTCTGTGGAAGAGACAGTTATTTCTGCCCCAACAGGTGACCAATGGAGTTAATGCTCATTTGTATAAACATCTTCAATACATTTCCAGCTGAATTATAAGTTTCCTTCATGAATGCTTATAAGTAGCTCATTTATACATATAAATCCAAAGAGATACATGTTTGATGAGCAAATACAGCAAATACAAAAAGTTTTTAATACTCCATTTAAAAAAATGGATTAAACTGAAAATTATATATATACCTCACCATGTAACATTAATTTATAGTATTATTATAGATCTAGTGCCTATAAATGACACTATTAACTAATGAAAAGGAAAGTAACAAGTGTGACTATGCAAAGCTTACTCTTATTTGAAATGGCACATGTAATTTTATCAGGTTTTATGATGATCTAAACTATCTTGCTCTCAGACTTATTGTCTGAAAATATGAAAACATTTTTCTAGAGTAGTCTAGAATTCTGTGAATTGATTAATCATGTTTGCTGAGTTCTAAATATATTTCAATTGTAAAGATCCATTTTTATGGAAATTCCTATGGATTCTGTAATTGCCATTTCTGAGGGTAAAAAATAACAGAAAGAGGAAATGAGTCCAAAATGGTTAACACACATATGTAAACTATCTTTTATTAAATTGAGTATGTTTATATCTTATGTGTCCCAACAAAAACTTAGTGGTTCAATAAATATAAAATACCACACTAGATTTTGTTACTATTTAAAACTCTGAAGTATGTGGCACCAGGAGTTCTTGCTGGTTTTAATTCAGTACATGGAAGTTCTCAGAGGAGAAATATGTAAGAAACAATGGCTTAGTATGGCTTTTAATTGGATAACTTTATGTTCTAATAGTAAAAAGCAATTCTGTACCATTAACATTCATTGTTCCAGGTTTTAGCTTTTCAACATACATCTCCTTTTATGTAATAAATATTTCCATGATAGAAGTATCATAACTTTATAAGTATGTAACTTCTATAAAATTTTTGTCTTGTTCCTACAGAACTTTCTTGCTGGCGGTCTTTAATAATACTCACAGTTAAGGAATCTTCTCCATCTTTACGGTCTCTACGAGTACGGGTTCTTCCTCTACCATCAGAGATACTGAGCAAGTCTCTTCCAAAAGGTTCAGAGAAACTTCTCATCATGTGGTGCATGCTTTCTCGGTGTGCAAGAAAGGAATCACTGTTGAAAATACAGAATAATGGAAAATTAATGTTGTAATTTAATAACCTTGGGTGCTAATATAATTGTTAAGGAGACAAATATTACAATTTACTCGGGAGACAGAGGCAGGCGGATTTTTGTGAGTTCGAGGCCAGCCTAGTCTACAGAGCAAGTTCCAGGACAGGGTCCAAAACAAAACAAACAAACAAAAATTACAATTTAGAAGATGAGAATTATTTGATATTATAAACTATAAACATAAATAAAATCCTATCCTATTTATACGAACAAAATATACTTTCATCTCGTTATATAAAAATGGTAAATACAAATTACCATATCATAAGTTGTTTAAGAAGAGGAAAACTGTGAAAACAGTCTGAAAAATATTTCTATCAGGTAAGACCACTACAGGATGTCTACAACATAATTCCATAGGGTTAATAAAGAATAATCCATGCTGAATATTCCATAGGCATCAAATAACCTACAAAAGTTTTCTTTTTAAATTGAACATACACAAATAAAAGTTTGGAAAGGAACTTCTCTGAAATATAATTATAATACTGTTTGGGGCTGGAGAGATAGCTCAGTAGTTAAGGGATTTGGTACCTAGTATCCTCAGAAGACTAATAACTGCATCTCACTATAGTTCTAGGGGACAACACAACACCTTCTTCTGGCTTTTCTACAGGCTTCTGCACCCCACCCCACCCCTACAATCTGAACAAACAAACAAAACCCATTATTTTTAACTTTCCTTACTGTGAGTTTATCATTGAAAGGAGCATTAAGAACCATAGCTATGTTAAAGAACACTATAAAAGTACAGATTATATCTGTAAAGTCAAAGCCAAAGCCACAGATAATTTTTATGAGAAATTATTTTTTTTCAAGACAGGGTGGCCCTGGCTGCTCTGGAACTCTGTAGGCCAGGCTAGGCTCAAACTTACAGATCCACTTGACTCTGACTCCCAAGGCTTGGGGTTAAAGATGGCTTTGCTTCTAAAGCTAATTTTTATTTCTACTAATTCTAAATACTACGACCATCAAAATATCTAAATATCAAGCCTTAAGAAATGTCAAGTTTCTTTGAAATTACCAAACCAACTATCAAGCTGCTTAACAATATGGTTTCTTGTTCACACCTAGCATGACAAATCAAATACACTGGCTCTGGATCTGATTTAAAAATATGTACTCCTGGTGATTTTAACTCAAATAGGTCTTTATCAATCTTTGAGGAGCAAGGTCCTCTGTGACTCTGTGGTATCTGAATTAATTAGAACCTGAGTATTCCTTCTGGAGACAAGGTTTCACAACTATACAATAAGGATAATGTAAAATATTCCTGTTATCAAGATCAAAACTATGTAACCTGAAAACACAAAATATAGTATCTGATACATTAGTAAGTTTAATAAGTGTTCATTTCTTGTACTCTCACTTCCTCTCTAATATATAGATACCATTTCCTATTTTTCTATCATTAAATGCTTCTCGGGGACAGAGATTTTACTTTAAAAACACGCAGAAATGATAATGTTCCAGCCCCTTTCTTAATATTCTTAATATTAACTTTCTTAATGTTAACGCTTTCATTACAATTCCAATTCAAAAACCTAAAAATTTTAATACTTCATCACAACATCATGATTGTGACTTACTTTACCAATAACTATGGCTCCCCTTGTTTAACTGAACTCCCCAAAACAGTGTGGCCTCCTTCCATAATTCTCCACTTCAGTTACCATCAATAAATTCTCTTGTTAAGAAAATGAAAAAATGTGGATTCCTTCCAGACTAATGTGGTTTGATCACACCAGACCGCCTGAAACAGAGTACAAGCTGATCCTACATTCCAAACAGCTGGACAAAACAGCCCTACAGACTACAGCTAGGATATCTGAATCTTCTTCGAATCCCCCAAGACAGCGCCCCTTACCAGCAGGAAGTAGTTTGGAAAGAACGACGCCCAAATTCCCAAATATTGTGTATAAATGTTTGTTTTCATTTAATTGGACTTTGTTATATAAAATTAAAAAAAAAATACTCTATATGCATAAAAAAAAAAAGAAAAAAAAATTCTCTTGTTAATCCAGTTCTAATTCTTTGACATTACCACAAATGAAGGCATAAAAAGCCAACATCTGTCAGTATCTCAGACAGAAAGGGCTTTTCTTCTGAATTATATGGCATTAGTTTAAAATTCAATCCTACTATCAAGAATCAGATTTCCTCATACATTACCTTGGAAGTTAAAAAAAAAAAAAAATAGCAGCATATGGCGGCAAACCTGCTCAGTAGAAGAATGTTTGCCTATCATAGATGAGGCTCTAGGTTCAATCTCTAGTACCAAAATTATTTTTTATTGGGGTGTAGTCATGGCATGTTATGGAATGGGTTATATAAGGATATTTATTACAACTATATAATATACTTTGAGAGAGTATTCCTGCCTGTTAAGATCAGGCTGTGCTTTACTCTAAATTATTCCATATTATATATAAAGAAATGAATTTTTAAGGCCCTGATTTGCCCTGGGTGGATCCAGAACCTGTACCATCAGTTAGGTACCACCCATCTAGCACAGACTTACAAGTGACTTCCTCCTGGGAAAAGAAAGGGAGCTACCTCTGTAAGACCTGGACCTGATTTGGTTGGGGCTTTGACCTAGTTGGTTCACTGTCAAACCTTTTTCCTGGGAGCCCTGCAGCAGGTCCTGAAGCAGCTCCCTCATTGGACTGGACTGGTTCCTTATTAGTACAGATGCTTTCTTAGCCTACTTATAAACACATGAACTCTGCTGCAATTTCTTAAATATATTTACTGTGTGCTGTATAATATAAATTTAATATCTGTAAAAGAACCTATATGTGTCTCAGATAGGCTACCAAGTTAAGTTGATAATATGACAAATTGCTGTCACTGAAACTGCTAAGCCTGATGAATTTGTTAATAAATTCTGACACTGTGGAAGAACACACATTAAATAGGTTTCTATATGTTTTTGGCTTAGTGTAGTCACAACATTGCCTCCCATTGGCCCACCCTTCTGTTCTAGACAGCTTCACCTGTAGATTCATATATTTGTGAATGAGAGAAATGAGAGAAAATTATATTTGTTGTTCTGAGATTGACTTTATTTGTATATTCTGATGACTTCTAGTTGTACACATTTTCCTGCAAATGACAGGTCTGAAAAAAATCCATTGTGTATATACACCACATTTTCTTTATCCATTCTCCTATTGATGGACACTTAGCATGGTTCCATAACATAACTAGCTGTCAACAGTGCCGCAATAAAAACTTATGTGCAAGTATCCCTGTAATAAATTTAAGCCTAACAATAATAATAAGAATGGTATATATAAGTATATAGTAGACTATCTTTAGTTTGAGGAACCTCATACAGATATTCATAGTGGTTGGAAAAGTTCACATTCCCACCAGTAATATATAATGGCTCCCTTTTGTCCATATCCTTACCAGCATTGGCTGTTGTTTTCTTACTGACTGCTGTGGTGGTTTGAATGAATATTGCCTCCACGGGGCATTCAGTGATCCTTTGTATTTTTTTTCATTTTTATTTTATTAATTTCTGCTATGTTATTTCTTTCTATCCACTAATTTTGGGTTTAGCTTGTTTTTGTTTTTTAAGGACCCATATAGTGTATCATTAAGTTATTAGAGGTTTCTCTTTCCTTAATGTGGGCACTGTAACTATAAACTCCCCTCTTAGAGCTGCTTTCATTGCATCTACTAGGTATGGGTGTGTTGTGTTTTTGTTATAGGATTCTTAAAATTCCCTTTGTGATTTCTTCAATGATTCATTATTCAACAGTCTGTTGCACAAATCTGTTGTTCAATCTCTATGAGTTTGTATGTGTACTACAGTTTCTCTTTCTGTTGCTTTCTGCTTTTATTCCATTGTGGCCAGTGGAAAAAAACACGGAATTGTTCCAATGTATGGCTATAGTTACCTAGACTGAATCTTTTCAAGCTGAAATACATTCCAAACTTACTTGCCTAGTTTTTAGAGTTTCTCTCGAAAAATCTGCTTTTATTCTGATAATCCTGTCTATATGTGACCTGTTGCTTCTCACATAGCTTTCAGTGTATGTTCTTTGCTCCCCATGTTTAATTTTTAACTACTTGATGTACGGAAGTTTGTTTTTCTGGTCTCATTGGTTGGAAAACCTACATACCTCCTGAACCTGGATAAACATTTCTTTATATTTGAGAAATTATCTACTATAATTTTTATTGAAAATATTCCCTATGCATTTAGCATGAAACTCTTCTGCATATATGATCCATAGATTTCGTCTTTTCACAGTGTTCCCTGGGTCTTATATTCTTGTATATTCTGTTTGTTATTTTCTTATTAAGTTTTCCTCGTCACTAAATGTTCCACTTCATCCACCTTGTCTTAAAACCCTAATGTTCTGTCCTCCCCTTGGCCCATTCTATTGTGAAGTTTTTTCTGAGTTTTTTATTTGATTCAATGAATATTGTACCTCCAGCATTTCATATTGGTTTTCTTCTCAATTTCTCTTTACTGAATTCTATCTTTATATCTCATATTAACCTTATTTCATTCAGATGTTTGCATGCTCTTGGAATTCAATTTTTAAAAAGGATAGAGGGGGAAAAGGAAAAGAGAACAGAGAGAAGGAAAATAGAAAAAAGAAAAAATGTGAACAGTTAAAACTGCAGTGGACATTAAATAAAGCAAGAAAGAAAGTGAATTGGAAAGACGTGGATGGGAGTAGATTAAATGTTTTCTTGCCTGCATGCTGGCTCCAGCTTTGATTTAAGCATTCCTTCTGGGCTCCCAGATGCAAATCACATTCCTGAGTAATACTGGCAGTGCCTCCAGCTGAGCCTTCTGGATTGTCTCTTGTTCTGCTATTAAGTTTCCTGTTACACTTTACAATTAAAACTAGAAATTTTTTGGCAGTCACCCACTTCATCTCATGATGTATCTAACTGGCCCTGGTTTATTGCCTCAG